CCACATGAGTGACTATGAGTGCATTTTCCCCTAGACTATTTACCAAAAGAATAGTCGCGACAATTTGCATCCACGAATCCCCGACGTCAAATCTGACCCACGCGATCGATTCGAGAAACACTTGCCGACTTAGACACAACTGACGATATCCAAGGAAAGAGGGGAGAAGTTATGAGTTTTCTTGATTGCATAGAGGACAGAAAAGACGCTGTTATTTCTTGTAGTTCGTAAGCTCCTTCCACGTGCAAGATTGAGTGCAAATTTGACCATTTATTTTTTTCAAAATTATTTGTAATTGATGAGTTTTTTCGACTTTATTAGGCTAGTTTTGAATAACTTGGTCAATTTCATTGTGTTTCAGGGCAAACTAGAATGACTCTTTTAAGGTTGATTTTGATTTTCCGGAAGTTAAAAAGAGAGGTAAATGTTATTTTCCCTATCTGTGAAACAATGAAACAATTATGATGCTTTCTTCAAAAGTTTAGTTGAAAAATAAAGTTGATCCCCCGATCAAATGTTACGACGTGGTGGGGGAAAGCTAGTAGAGAAGACCACGCTTTGCAGGAAATAGGAAGAGTCCAAACCTGCTGTTTGAATTCTTCTTTATTGTCTGTGTCCTCTCAACAACCAACTAACCAAGAATATGATAACTAAACAACCAACCATACTAACTGTGTGAACGAATGAAGGTAAAATCTCCGTAAAATCTCTCTCATGGCCACTGAAAACGATACCCGACTTCCATTTGAGTCTTTTAAACTGGTCTTCCCTACTTGAAGGGAAACAGAATTCGAATTCATCCAACAAGGGTTCAAGGGATTATCAAGCAGTATCACTTGTCGTGGCGGGAAGTCGCAAAATCATTGGCTCTGTCAATTTTTGGCCTTTCTTGGGATTCCTCTTGCTCGCCCAGGCACTTTTAAAGCGAAATTATGCATATTGCGAGTCATGTTTATCCTATGTTAAAGAGGAAAGGGAAATTCTTCAGGAACCCTGGATTTCCCAGCCTTTGGTGTCACGACGCATATTTAGGAAGTCGAGAGTCAATTACTACATCAACTCCGACGCAGCTTTCAACCTTGTGTATCTACAGTTGTGTGGTGACATAGACCCTAACCCAGAGCCTAATTCTTCTCTGTTCGATACACTTCACATGGTGAGAGACAAAGGTAAACATGGGATATCCATCGGTCATTCGAACGTACGTGGCCTTCGAAAGAACCTCGCTGGGGTAAAAATATTCATTGAACACACCAACCCGGATATTTTAACCATATCCGAAACGCATCTGACACCGGATATACATAACGACGAGGTAAATATTGATGGTTACCAGATTCTAAGAAAAGATAGAACACACAAAGGAGGAGGCGGAGTCGCCATTTATTTTAAAATTATTTTAGATCGCATTCGTTTATCCAAATATGAGGACGAAGACACTGAAACCATCTGGATTGATTTGTTATCCCACTCGCAAAGGTTACTCATCGGCTGTGTTTACAGACCCCCTGACGCTTCATTATTCTTTGATAAATTCCACCGAATCTTGGATAAAGTTTGGATGACACGCAGAAACGTTGTTATCGCCGGTGACTTCAACTCTAACATGCTCTCTCGTACTGGTAATGGTAATAAATTGAAACGTATCTTTCAATCCTTCAACTTTCGCAACATTATTAAGGC